ATGAAAACAAATATTAAACTTGAAGACTTAGAGAAAATAGGCTCTAGTGATATTATATGAATAATGACCAATTTACAATTCTTTAATAAGGCAATTACATTGATGTTTTGTAGAGGAAAGATGTCATTTATTCAGTTATATGGTCTTTAATCAGTTTCAAGGGCCACAAAATACAAGAAAATACATAACCCCTATTGGAAAATTGAAACAATCATAAAAGGATAAACATTACTTCTAATGAACAGTATAAACTAGCTAATGGAAGTTTCCAAAAATAGCCTCTAATACATAGCCTTATTTCAATAAATAGATTATCCTCATATTATTCCTGCTTTCATTCAAACATTTCATTTGACAATGCTTCCTTGTTAAGAATCACTGAGCCTACTTAGAACTGCGGTGGAGCATATAAAAGTGTGTCCTTTTTTTTTTAACCTGAATTACATTTCCTGTCTAACGAGAAGACAAATCAAGCATAGAAATGAGAATTAAGCAACAAAATGAGACTGACTGCAATTAGATTTACAAATGAAAAGCATAGGATTTATGCTGTTATCCTCTGCCCCCGAGTTGGATGCCCATTTTTCTCCACATTGGTGTTTTAGTTCACTACTGACACCGAACCTTTGACTTTTACTCATACTACTTTTAATAATTACATACTTTATAATAAGTAACTCCACTGACTGCTTTGTTTGTTCCTGCTTCTCAGGGAGCAGAGAAGATAAAACACTGAGCACAATGTTACAGATTACTTTAAATCAATTATCTTTAAAAGTTGTGCTAGCTTTCATTTTCAGGGACAATTTTTCCTACTGTATAAATTAGGAAACTGAGTCTCAATGAAGTATTTAGTTACCAGCCGAAAAGTAGAGGTCTCAGATATATTTGAAGGCTAGAATTGTAATCCCAAACTGACTAATTTGGTCTATTACAATCACTTTCTTCAAAGTGCCTTTCATTTTATTGCTGTTTCCCTCCCTTGGCAAAACCAATCTTATGTGACCTAAATGAGACCTAAAAGTTTAAACTTTTTCCACTTGCAACCTTTTGTGTCAGAGAAAGTACACAGGTATATACAGTATATAAAATAGATATACAGACTAAGCATGTACTGATCATCTATTTTAAAACAGATTTCTTGCAACCCCCTACATTCAATACCAAGTGCAGTAATCACCCAGTTTAAGTGAGGGCCTAAATGAAGGAACCAAATAAAAAAAATTTAGTCAAATAAGATTAATCACTATCACTATCACTATCCTCCCGCTGTTCATCGATTTGCTCGAGCGGGCCCAGTAACGTCTCCACCATGAGACTTTGTTGTTACTGTGTTTGGCATATTGAATATGTCATGGGTAGCTTGCCAGGCTTTGCCATGCGGGCGAGATACTCTCGGTAGCTTGCCAGGCTCTCCGAGAGGGGCGCAGGAATCAAACTCCGGTCAGCCATGTTGGCCGCTTGCAAGGCAAACGCCCTACCAGCTGTGCTGTCGCTCCAGCCCAAGATTAATCAAATAAGAAAAATTTAATATACTATCACCAAATACTTCAGCCATTCATATTCCATTTTTCATAGCTGAACAAGTAAATAAACAATATATCTTATCATGAATTTTTCCCATCTGGGAATGTGTTTATTTCTAATCTTAGTTTAGAGAATTCTCTGCTCAGAATGTGACTGGAATCCAGAAATCAGAAAAAAAAAAATCAAGGTACACAGACCACTCCAGAAAGCATATGTCAATCAAAAAGCAGTTACAGTCCTTTTAAAGAACATATTTAGGTTGTGGGCATCCGAATCACTACTGTAGAGCAAACAGAAATAACAGAAAATGGAAGAAACTTAGGTGATCTTTCTTAGAAGGTACTTGTTCTTTTTCTCTCAAAGTTATTATGCCAGTACCATCAGATTCTTAAGACATAGATTGGAAAACAATTGGTTTTGGAACCACACCCAGGAGTGCTCAGGGCTTACTCCTGGCTTTGGGAGTTCAGGAATAAATTCTAGTAGGTGATTTTTAAACAACTTTGTTAAAAGGGTGCCTGAAATTAAGCCCCAGATCAAACCCCAGTAGGAGTCTCAGAAGGCTTAAACTATACTGTCTCTGCAGCCCTAGGATCCCTGTTCTTTACATCTCTGGTAGAGATCTTAATCCCATCGAGGCAGAGCTTGGTCATCCATCCAATCAAATTCTTCCACGTAGGGTTTGACTCTAAAAATTATGGCAACAGCCAAAAGTCTATCCTGTCAAGCTAGGTGGAAATAGTGCAAAAAGTTTGTTTCTGTTACAGATTCTTAGCTCAATTTCTATCTCTTTTTTCTAACACCCCTATCTTATCTCCCATCCATGACCCTCCCCTTCTGGTCAAGTAACATTCACTCTGTTATTGACAGAACTATCAACAAATAACAACTGGTGTGTCTTTTATTCTGCTTTATCTAGTCATCCATTTTATATTCTTATATTGCATGCATAAGTGATTAATAATATATCATATCACCCATGAATTTTAATACTGAGCTTTTTTTTCATGAATGCCAAAAATTTCATTTGTATAGTTAATTACCACTTTGTTATATAATAAAAACTCAGATATCAGCAAGAAAGCTAATATAAGAGGTAAAGTGCTTAGCTTGCATGCTGCTGCCCCCAGTCTGAATCCCTGGCATCACATACTATCCTTCAAGGACACACAGGGGTCACTCCTGAGCACAGAGCCAGGAAGAACCTTTGAATACACACACACACACACACACACACACACACAAAGAAACTCAGAAGTAAATGAAGATGCATATAAAACTAACACTGAAAAAGTGTGGCCTGGAGTGTTACTGGAATCAATATTGACAGAATTTCCTTTCCAGACTAAGGGAAGCTTCAAACTATCGGAGGCAAAACTGCTATATCTTTCACAGCAGGTTGTTGGAATATTTGGGTTGAACCTTAACCACATCGTGGTCTCTAAACCTTAGTTTCTCATCTAAGAAAATGAAAATCATCAAATAACTCTATAATCAAGTTATTTTTTCAACAAATAATTCTAGGAAATGGAAAAAGGTAACATAGTCCACAAAGCTTAGGTATGATTCAAAACTGTAGCACAGTTTAAATCTCAGGCCCACCAGTAAATTCTGTAAAAAGATATATATCAGTACCGATATAAAAATGCTGAAATCGGATGTAAAATATCAGGGGTTTTGTTTGTTTGTTTGTTTTCTAAAGTTTAAAGGTTCGGGTTGGAGTGCAGTAGTATGACAGGCCTGGTGCCCCAAGGCCTTAGATCCCTGCTGTGCTATTTGGTCCCAGCAGGAGTGATTCCTGAATATAGAGCCAGTATGCCCTGAGCACCTCTGGGCCTGGACCCCACCCCAAAAAAAAGTTTAAATGTTCCCTTAGTTTACTTCCTCTGCCCCAAATGCTGCTGCTTACAGGTTAACACTCAAATTTACTATCAAACAACCAAGATACAGTAATAAACTAATCAGTCTTCTCTCTGACGAATTTAATAAATTACCCAGATATGATATGTGTTTGTTTATTCGATATCTGAATTGCATTTCGGGTTAGCAAGTTTCCATATAAACAAGGGAATGAATGAAGTCTAAAGGGCACTCTAATAGATTTCAAGTAATATTTGGAAAATCGTGATCTTGTAAATTGCAGAACCATTTCTGCAGTATTTCCTCAAATCTGCATGTATTTTCTCCAGCTTTTACTCCAAAAGAGATCTTGGTTTTCTTCAGCCCCTCCCACTGAGCACTTTTAGACTGCTTCGAAAGGCAAGCAGGGCTGAATGTGCAGGAGCTATTTATAGCTCCACCTTGGAGACGTGCACATGCAAAATGTGGTTCAAGCTGGATTTCGCATGAATAAATGAAAAAGGATCTTTCTCATTTCCCATCGCCCCAATTTTTCAGTAATTTTCAGAGCAGGGTGTCATTTGTCCCTGAGAGTGATGCGGTGTCCAATTTTTCTGCAGTTCTTCCGTTTCCAACCATTTGACTCCAGCAGGAGCTGGTCTCGGCCAGCCTCATTATTCCAGATGCTGTACCTCCGGAGGCTGACGGCAGCCGCTGGAAGCCCATCGGCTCACGATTACTTTACTCTGGAGGAATCCCGAGGCTAAGCTCACCTTTCAGCAACTACTAGGAAAGGTGATTCCCGAAAAGCAACGCCGCTTACGGTGGGAAGGAGCCTTCGCCACCTGTCCTCCACCGTCTGCAGCGGGCAGAGCAGGGCACGCTTCCTCTAGATACCGAAGTCATCCATCGGAAAATGTCTTTCGAGCCGAAAGGATTCCCGCGCCCCACCCAACTCCTCTCTGAACCGAAACGAATTCTCAGCCGAGAGGCTTGGGGTAGGGGATCCCTCACCCCTTCAGCTCAATTCCCAGGCGTTTGGTTTTTTTGGGTTTTGTCTGTTTCCCCAGCTAATCTAGGTGCAAAGTAGGAAAGGGAAAATGAGAAAGAACAGACTGACGTGGAGAGAAGAAAAAGCTCTTTGGGATTTCAGAGGTTCAGGGGTTTTCCGGCTCCTGACACTTCTGCCCAGACATCCCCTCCCCACCAGGGCTCCTGGAATCCCCCGAGTTATCCCCCGAGTAGGCGGCCGCGGCCTCTGAGAAGTTGGAACACAGATGCGGGCTCGCTCGGCTCCTCCCGGAGCCGCCCCGTCCTGCCCGGTCCCTGGGCCGCAGCCGTCCGCATCCCTCCTGCCCGGTACCCGGCCGCGGCCGTCCGCATCCCTCCTGCCCGGTACCCGGCCGCGCCGTCAGCATCCCTCCTGCCCGGTACCCAGCCGCGCCGTCCGCATCCCTCCAGTCGCGACCTTCCCGAGCGATTCCCAAGATGAACCATAGGGCTCTGGGAGATGGAGGGGCGGGCGATTCCCGGGGTGGACCGCAGGGGTCTGGGAGATGGTTGGGCGGGGCGCGGGGGCGGCAGCAGTCGAGGACGAGCCTCTCGGCTCTCCCTGCAGAGAGGATGCCTCCTACCTGCTCCCAGCTCCTGCTCGCCGCGGCACGGCCACACCTTATCCTACAGGTTTCCGCAGCAGCTGCAAAGCCTCGGCCGCCCCTCGCTCTGAGGAGGCCCCACCCCCCGGGTGCTGGGTGGGAACCCACCTATCCGGGCGGCTATTGGGGCCGGGAGATAGAGGGGGCGGGAATCGGAAAGAAAGCTGTTCTCTGATTGGAGACACGGCATATCACTCTCACGCCCGCCCAGCGTCTGCGGAGCCAGGGGCCGACGCTCAGCCCAACTGCAAAGGGTCTCTATCCTCTCTGGAACCGGCTGCTACTGGATGGATCAAGGACCCTGAGAGAAAAGGGAAACTGGTTTGACCACTTGTCATCTGAGGCCTCCCGAGGGAGGGAGAGGCTAAGCATCTCCAAGCTTGGATGGTCATCCAAGCATCCAGCGTTTTTGGAGCTTCCCTGAAGGGACCATCTGTTCTGGGATTTGGGGCAGGCTAAAATGTCAGAAGCAGTGAATGCTCTGATAAAAAAAAAAAAGATAAGAATGGAGAAACACAAAATAAAGCAAAATAAAACAAATATATTTTGGTTAAAAAAATTTTTTTAAGATGAAAATTTTATTTTTTTAATTTTTATTTTTTATCTAACTGGTAGTTTTTGTGTGTAGAGAAATTATTTAAGTGCTTATACTTAAACAAATTAAGCACTTATTCTTAAGTAACTTCCAACCACCCCGTGTAGAAATGTTTTAATGAGAAAGTGCTATATAGCAACCTCTAAAGAAAAGGTAAAAAAGGATGAAAATTTAGGTTAATGTGAATTAGTAACTTATCTTAGGCAGTTCATTTGATGGCCAAAAACTTAAAACAATCCTAACAGCTCCAGTAACTCAATAAACAACAACAACAACAATAATAATAATAATAAACTTAAGACAATCTATACCAAGTTAAGTGATAATCAGTCTTCTTCCTTTCTACTCGTATTAATCTATAATTCCTTCTGTGTCCAAACCTTGATAATATAGATATATAAGCCAACCCAAATCCTAGTGATTACAATCCTCACTTAAAGTGGCTACTAGGGGCAGAACAACTTTGTGCCCAACTCTTCAATTTTCCAGGTGGAAACAGAATGCTATTGAATTCAAATGATAGCACTGCACTGTAGCACCTCCTCACGTTGCTCATCAATTTGCTCAAGCTGGCACCAGTAACGTCTCGCAACAAATTGTGAGACTTGTTACTGTTTTTGGCATGTCAAATACCTCAAGGGGAGCTTGTCAGGCTTTGCTGTGCAGGCGAGATACTCTCCATAGCTTGCTAGGCTCTCCAAGAGGGACAGAGGAATCGAATCCAGGTCAGCTGCGTGCAAGGCACTACCAGCTGTGCTATCGCTCCAGCCTAATTCAAAGGATAATTGGAGGAAAATGAAGAGAGGAAACACAAAGCCCATCCTTAGAGAGAGCTTATAATAGACAAGGGGCACTGGACAAATCTGCGGTGGGTATGAAGGAAGGTAAAATAGAAAGAAATCAGGAGCTAGATTCAATATTAGAAACCAGAAAACTTGCCCTGGCAAGTATGCTTGAAAATATTAAGAATATTTCCCTTATTTTATACTAAGGGATGGAAGACAGAAATTTTAATCAGATTGCTAACACAAAAGTAGATTTTCCTACACTGATGGGTTCTTGGGAACTGTATGAGTTATTTGCATACAAAACTCAGAACGTTAAGAAGTCAGAGTTTATTGTATGAGCATAAGTAGATGGATCCTGGTCTTTCCCCAAATACCCAGGCCTCTCCTTTACCCATGAATGATGTAACTAGTACTGTCCAGTTATGCCTTGGATCTAACCTACCAGTTCTGTCTCACTCAGTCTATTTGCCTCCAGTTCATGAACACCAGGTATTCGTCACTCTCTGTCCAGTATATGCTTTTCCAATCTAAAATCATGTCCCTGAACCTCTCCTGGTCTGTATTTCAATGGTTTCCTGGCTTCTTGTCCTGGCTTTCCTTAAGTCTCCAGCCTCCCACTTCTTGCTTGTGGATGAGTTATCTGCACTGTGTACCTGTAGTTGGGCCTCTCTCAACTGTACCCCAATAGTTCCTCTTGTCTTGTTCTGACTTTCTTTTGTCTCCTGGCCAAGGCGAGGATATACATGCATGAGATTCCTGTGCTCAGTATCTGTCCTTACCTGGGCATCTGAGAGCCCGGACTGAGTTTGAACTTTCCTTTCTATACACTGCCAGTCTGGTCCTCTGAGGCCTGCCTGCTCTCAGTTATTTTTTGTCCTTGCAGATCTTCTGCAAAGAGAGAGAGAGAAATCAGGAAGAGAGAAAATAGAAAGAAAATGTGAAGAAAGAGGGAATAGAGAAGAGCGACGGAAGAGAGAAGAGAGAGGAAGGGCTGGAAGGGCTCAGGGGCTCTTTTAATCTGCTGCCATCTCCCACCCCCAGTCAACTCATTTTCTATTTTGATTGGCTACTTATCCCATGGGCAAGATTTAAGGTGACCAAACATATTCACCTTATGCTTCACCCTTCTTCCACTTGCACTGTATCAAGATGGAGCTTAGTCTTTGTGGATGCATTGAAAGTGTGCCTCAGATGGTCATCAGTTCACTGGGACTTGGAGAATACGCATCACACCATGAAGGAATTTATTAATCATTCTGGTACAAGCCAATCCATAACCCACCCTTTCTAAGAACATACTTCTTTCTTATTCTATAAAAGTTGCTTTTTGTGAATGTGTAGGCAATGTGCTTGATTTGAGTACATGAGTCTGCCATCTTCCAACCTGCTGACTTGTTGCTAACAACGCTCTTCCTTGATCCATTCCATCTCTTGACTTGCACTCATGGTTATTGTGACAGAGCTAATGAAGTTTTTCAAGTTGTCATTTTATTTTCAATAATTTCCAAAGTTTTAAAAGGTATCAAACACAAACGTCATATATTTGTGTTCTTTTCCACATCCAAATATCTTAAATAAAATTCCTTGAGTTTTATGAAAAGGATACTCTATGTAGATTAAACAAATAGCAATACAAACATAAACAACAAGCTGAAATAGCTTAACAGTAATCTCATCTTAAGTTTTCTGATGAGCAATCAATAACTTATTTTGAGAATAAGGGTTTGACACAGTTACAAAATTAATACAGTTCAGCATGGGACTGACTATGAAATCATAAATCTCCCAGAGAACCAAAATTAGAGACAAACTCCTATGGATGCCCTTCCAGGGTATTTCTGTTCTCATAAACAACTTCTCCATGCTAACTTATAGCAACTCATCAAAGATGTTTATTAATAGGATACTGATAATATGAAGCCATAGGAAGGAACTAACCCAGGCCTAACATTTATACCAAAGTCACTTTTCCAGGCCTAAGTCGTGTAGACTATCTATAGTTCCTTCTTTCACTCTTTTTTTTCTTTTTCTCTTTCTCACTATCTCTTTTTCTTTCACTCCTCTTCTCTCTCTCTCTCTCTCTCTCTCTCTCTCTCTTTTGTTTTGGTATACAGCTGAAAGTGCTCAGAGTTTACACCTGACTCTAGGCTCAGAAACCACTCCTGGTGTTGCTCAGGGGACCATATTGCAGTGTGGGAGATCAAACCTAGTTCTGTCATATGCAAGGCAAGTGCCTTAGTGCCTTAATTCCTGTGCTATCTTTCTGGTTCTTATCTCCTAATTTATTTGGTCCTGTTTCCTTTCTAAATGTCTCTGTTTGTCTAAATGTCTAAATGTCTTGTGTTAGTCCAGGGACCCTCATCACTTATTTCATTGAATGTAACAAATCATTGATGAGTGATTGACTGAGAACATTTATTGAGCACCATTCTGTGCCACATTCTTTTAGGTGTTAGGAAACTAAACAAAAATAGTAGATTTAAAACTGGGCCAATGTTTATTATTATATAATATTCAACATTCAGTATTTGGGTCCTTGTCCCCAAGTATAAAAGATATGGACAATATGTTATCAGTGTACACTTCACCCCAAAGACATTCTTCCTTATTTTGTCCTTTCCAAAAGTCTGACCCTTAATTTGTTTAGTTTGCAAATATAAAGAAATGTATTTTGGTACTCAGGAGTCTATAACTAACTCCCTACAAACAAATCCATTATTCTCTTTCTCGTGAAACCTGTTTATCTCTTGAAATCTCACTCTTTCTTTCTTTTTCCTTCACTCTTTTCTCTTTCATTCATCTCTCTTTTCTTTCTTTCTTGTTTTTTTTCTCAGCTGGAAGTGCTCAGAGTTTACACCTGGCTCTGTAATCAGGAACCACTTCTGGTATTGCACAGGGGACCATATTGCAGTGTGGAAGATCAAACTGAGGTCCTACTGGGATACGGTGATTACTTGAGAATATGAGTTGCCATCTTCAACCTACCAAATTCTTGCCAACAAAGCTCTTTTTACCCATTACTCTGCCTCTCAACTCCCTGATTTCAAATGACAGTGAAATCAGACCTTTGTAGTTTACACATTAAAAGATTTAAAGGTTCAAAAGTGAAACAAAATGGTAAAATATTATATAGGAAATGTATATTTTCAACACTAATTTATTTTGTTTCCTATGCATAGATTATTTTAAGTTGTAATGAACTCCAGCAAATACTCTTTAATATTTCAACAGTGAAGTGAAAACAAAGTATAAAGAAAAAATGAGTGTGAATTTAAGATGAGATGTTCCTTCAACATACATTACCATGGAACATAGATAGGTGAATAAGAAAGGCAAATTATCATGGGTTATATTGTTTATTATTGTAAGTGGCAATATTACATTATATTTTTATTGATATAATTATAGTTTTGAATGTGAGAATGCACAAAAACATAACCACACAACTTGGGAATAGCATTAGATTAACTGTTAATCTAATCATCTGGCACCTTATATATTTTCAGGTAAACAATCTATATTATATCTCTCTGAGATAATAAGCTGAACATCTATTTCTGGAATATATATATATATTCTTATGCATGTGAATATGTCACATATTTGTGACAGATATTTTATATTTTCCAAGTTAGTTTTAGAAACAATCAACCACTTTATACGGTTGAATAGTGAGTAGGA